AGTGGAGGGGTGTGTGACGGAGGGAGGAAGCTGTAGTTATTTTAGCATGCATTCCTTTCAAAAGAAGATTTCTGAATGAAATGATTTGTTTTGCATACGCAATAAAATGCAAACAGTGAAAAATAAGTCTCTCCTACCCTTAATCGTCGCAGGCCTCCAGTTTCCTTCCTGGGAGGCAGACTTTTTAGCAAATTCTTTCATTTTTATAGGCTTCCAGAATATATCGCTTAATAGGTACAAGAGTTTCTATTCATTAGTAAACTCCTTCATTCTCTAAGTATGAGGACCTGCTTGGGACCACATCATGTTCGAGGAAAGGGCAGAGCAGAGGATGAGAAATAGCCCTTACTCTTGAGGGGTTGCCCCCATTGTTGTGGGGAGACGAGGTAGTCAGCTATTAGCATATAAATCTGCCCTGAGAGTTGGTGAACTCTAGGGAAAAGACCCCCGACAGTGTGTAAAGCAGGAGAGAATGATGTGTCTGTGCCTTGTTGCTTGGGCAGAGAGCTGTGAAGGTATGGAGTGGGCTTGCAACATTTCTATCTGGACAGAGGGAATCATAAGTGCAAACGCCATGAGGCAGCTCAGGGCTTTGCATGTTCAAGTTAGCAGGAGGTTGTGATTTTGAAGGAGACAGAAATGCAGAGAAGAGGGGTAGTAGGTGAATCTAGAAGTAACTAGAAGCCAGGCCCTGTACAGCCCTGACAGCCTGTGTGGCTTTGGGCAGGACTTCTGGTTTCTCCTGCGGTGAGTTGCAAAGTCATTGGAGGCTTAAAAAAAAAAAAAGCTGAGTTGGCCTGGTTTTCCTTTTGAAAGGCTCTCCCTGGCAGTTATCTGGAAAAGTCCAGGAGTTTGGGGGCAGAGGCGGGTTGGGCAGGAGTACAGGCAGAGAGATGAGCCAGGGAGATGAGCCTGGCCCATGTCCTGACCTCGCCTACATGCTGAGATCACGTGGACCAGGATGGTGCTGCAGAAGGGGTGGGGTCTTAATGCCTCTCGAAGATTGCAGCACCCAAGTGCAACGGGAGGACCTCTATCTAGGAGGGGAAACAGAGTGGTGGTGGGGTTGAGGGCTGGCTGGAGCCTCAGAAACAGTTGGATGAGAGATGTATACTAGGTGGGGGAGCTTTCAAACACACGCCTAAGCTCAGGGGAGTGACTAGAATTACAGAGACGCACTGGGAAGTGGTAGTATCTCAGCTCATCCCAGTGACAATTTCTTTTCTCCAGCACATGCATAGAAGTCATTGTGGGTCCTGGATTTTAAAACTGTTTTCTATCATGTCACAGTTATCTACCTTTTCTTCCCAGTGGGTACAGATTGGTCTTTTGCATGTTTGTGCAATAATGCCAAGGCAAGATTACCTTGTTTAAGAATAAAAATGGAACTACCAGCTCATCTACTTCTCTGAGGTAGTAGCATTTAAAAGTAACTTTTGAGTGAGTACAAAATCCAATTTGACCGGCAAATTAAAATTAAATTTTAAAATTCATTTAAGAACAGGTTATTGGAAGAGTTGTGCATAGAATGAGCTCCAGGAGGGAAAAAATGTTCTAACGGAGAGTGGTCAGAGTTTAACTCCATGATCTCATCTGGTAAATTGAAAAAGATCAGGGAAATGAATGAATAATGTCCGGTACAGCCAAAGATGGGCTGAAGTTCAGCCATTCAGAGAGTGAAGCAGGTGCTGCATTTGGGACGTGTTCTGAACACATTTATCTATCTATCTATTTATGTTTCTTTTTTGCATAGAAGAACTGGGGTGTAGGCCAGAAGTGGGGGATTGTGTGGGAGGATTCTCCAGAGACAGAGGCAGGTGGAAATGCATTGCTGAGGGCAGCAGCAGGTGAGACAGGTCTGCTGCGCCATGTGGGTCACTCCCTGGCTGGGGATGGAACTCAGGCCCTGGGGTGATGGAGCTGAGACTTGCCCCCAGGCCACCCCCTCATAACTCGTATTAAGTGAGAAAAGGAGGGCATCCTACATCAAGACAGTGCTGTTCTGGCGTGTGTCTGCACGCTCAGCTGCCCTCTGTGCCTGTGGGACACACCATCAGCGTATGTGACGTACTCATGATGAAAGCACTTTTTCTTAAAGACTGGAAGAAAATATATTCACACATCAACAGTGCTCTTTGTTCCAAATGCTCCTTTCTGTATTTCCTGTCCATAGTACAAACCCGTCAGCACTAAGAAAAATTCCAATTTATTGCAAGTTCTAAGGGGGCGTGGGGAGGCTGTGGGCCTAGCAGGGTGCAGACTCATGTCTGATCTACAGCACTGTACTTTAGGGGTGCAGGCTCATGTCTGATCTACAGCACTGCACTTTAGGGGTGCAGACTCATGTCTGATCTACAGCACTGCACTTTAGGGGTGCAGACTCACATGTCTTCAGCTTTAGCCACCACCCCATCAGGCACCCCGAGTCCTCCACCCTGGTCCATCGGCCCCTCCCTCTCCTCTTTACTGCTCTGGTCACCCCGCCCTCTGGGAGCCCCAGCTCTGCAGTTGGATTTCTAGGGTTTGTTTTGGTTGAGTTGTGTCAGCTCCTTTGCTTTGTTTCTTTACACTCCACGTGAGTGAGATCATCCGCTATTCGTTCTCCTTCTGACTTACTTCGCGTCTCGTCATCTCCTCTAGTCCCACCCATGTAGCTGCAAAGGGCAAGACTTTATTGCTCTTCACGGCTGCGGAGTCTTCCACGGAGTATATGCACCGTCTTCCCGATCCACTCAGCCGCCACTGGGCACTAGTTGCTTCCATGACTTTGCATTTAAACAGACTGCAACACCCACAGGGGTGCACATGTCCCTTGGCATGAATGTATTTGTACATTTTGGAGCTTCAGATGCCCATGGAGAGTAAGCCAGTAGGTAGATACACCCTCTGAAAAGAGGCATCGCAGATTACATGTGCTTGGGAAGTCTCAGCTGGAGACTTTCAGGTGTAGGTGGGACTTCTGGCTCCTGGCTGCCTCTCTTCCTCCTGGTCCTGGGCTGGGCTGAAGGCCCAGATGGTTGACAGGGAGGGGAATTTGCCGCCTGTTTTTCATACACAGGGTTGTCACTGGCAGAGACCCCCGGGGAAGTCACCTTAAGGGACAATCGGGCTGATTGCGTGCCCTGGTGGAATCTTGAGGCAGCCCTGCTAGTAGAATGAATAAATGCTATTGCTGGTCTCCCTGCTGTGGGTCTGCCCCGGCCAGGGACGTGCACAGCTCAGACCCAGACTCCGAGTGGGCTCATTCCTTGAATTGCCAAGAAGCCAAAGAGTCTTATTATCACATCCATCCCCCAGAGCCAGCCACAGCCAGCTGCTGCCAAGTTCCTGCAACCTGAGCCTAGTGCTGCAGCAAGAATTCAGCCTTGGGCTAGCAGAGCTTCCAATTTGCTGGGTGATTAGGGCTTTCCGAAATGAGCCCTGCTACCTTGGCTTGGTTTTGGGTTTTGCTTTTAAATGTTGAGACTTTCATGTATACTGACTAGCAGAAACAGCCTCCAAACTTTTTCACTAGCTTTGTTCTCAGCTTTTTACCTCCCTTTTGATCTAACAGAGCAGGTTTAGGAAAAAAATGTCCCCAAGAAGCCTAGTGCTGTGTAATGCTACTTGGGGGCACTTTTTGGTAATTGGACTATTTGAAGAAGGGCCAAGAATTCAGCCCATTACCTATGAATGCAACACGTATAAATGAAATCACTGTTGGAATAAATGGTTATCATCTTTTTTCCAAGTTCAGTCTCATCAACTACAATGAGATTTGGTCTCCAGGGTATGAAGACTCATATTATTCTTGGCCTCACTGAGTGAATGTACAGATAGTGTGTTGGAAACTACGGTGATGAGATAATAGAGAGGGTTTTATTTTTTCTTTGAAAATAAAACATTTTAATGGACATTGTGGTTTATAATAATAACGATCTCTGCCACTATTTCTGAGACCTGGTTTTTGCTAAGCTTGTGCTAAGTTGGTATCATCTCATGAAACTCTTGCACAACCCCAACGGGTCGGTATTTAATGCCACCGTTTGCCCTGTGACTGTTTATAAGGGTGCTCTGCCATGCACTGGTTCTGATCCGGTGAGATGCAAATGTTTCCTTTTCGGTTGCTACAGATCAGCCTTCCCTGGCTGTAGCTGCCAGGTATTCCCTTGCTGCTTGGGCAGTGAACCAGGCCCTGACTGGTGAGAAGTTGCCTCTCATATTCTGTGATTGCAAATTATGACCATTGCCCACCTTTATACAAGCCTGTGCGTCTCTGGGTGCATTGTGAAGCGGGCCAGTTGCTATTTCTATAACTCCAGGAGGACTGAGAGTCGTCCGTTGTGTGTGGCATCATAACAGTATATCACATTGGATGTAGACCCGGCCTTCACGACCCAGACTCTGCTGGGGGGCTGCCTCCGATCACCCTGCCCTTCTGGAGGGCTGCTCTCATTTCCCACTCCTGTGCCTCCCTCTCCCTGAGATGGCCTTGTAGGTCAGTGCCTCTGATGCTGCCGGGCTAGTTTCTAGTCCCCACGACTCAAGGGTCTTTGGGGACAGACACACGGAGCCACCATGAGTCACGTCTTCCCTCCTTCTCCCTTGGGAAGGGGACAAGGATGGGCACTTGCCAGGGCACACAGGTTTCCATCCCGTGCTGGGCCAGAGCCCCAGCTCCCATGGGCGTGAACTGGAAAGGAAGGACCTGAGCTAGCTGGGGTCAGGTGAGGTCCAGGGGCTCCGTGCGTCCTCACCCCTCGCCGAGGCTTCTTCCTGGTCTATCCCGCAGAACGGCTGTTCCCCTTCGTGGCTCCGAGCGAGGCACCTGTTTCTTCCGCAACCCTGGAGGAAGCTCACGCCCCACCATGTTTACTGTGCACCTACTATGTGCCAGGAACTAGGCCAAACCCCAGACAACCTCCACAGTTTACCTCTGGGTTGGGGTTTCCGACTTAGGAGTTTCTTGGACTCAAGCGAGTGCCTGTCCAGGAAGGCCAGTCGTTTCTCTCCCCCCACAGGCAGGTCCTCACGCTGGGGTCCATATTAACTCAGGAGAAGGAACTCTGGTGTGGCGTGATACCCGTCTGCTAACGACGCTGAGTGACCCTCACGGGGTAAATCCTCACTCATGGGGAAAGGCCGATGGGGACGTTCTGATGGGCGGTGTCTGGCCGGCTCAGTGGGGCTCTGCACCCCGGCCCTCCGCCCTCTGACCCCTGCCTCTCTGTGCAGCTCCAGATGAAGATGAGCGAGCGGGCAGCCTCGCTGGCCACCATGGTGCCCCTGCCGCGCAGCGCCTACTGGGAGCACATCACGCGGCAGCACAGCACCGGGCAGCTGTACCGCCTGCAAGGTAAGGGGGACTGGCGTGAGGTGGGGGTGGGGGCGT